CACATGGGCTTGTCACTTACAAAACCCCTTAATTTGACCCAGTGATATAACTGACACCCAAATTCAGGTCTCTGCACTGTGTGTTCTATACATTAACTGCTTGTCTTACCTCAACTTGTAGGCAACTGAGATTATTTACCAAGACTGAGCAGAGCATGTGATGTGAAAACTATCAAGGCACGCAAATTTCACTTCATCTAATTTTGCTAATAACTTTTTATTGCAAAGTACTTATTCAACAAAATGACTGCGATTTCCTACTGACTCAGTCTTTATTCGGTTCAAGTTATTAATGGAGTACGGACTAAATCCACAACAATCAATAAATCTTCTAGTTTTACAGCACTACAGAGAACAAAATACATGCTTTTTACTTACATTTTATTTCCAATTATCGGCACCACTGAAGCTTCAATAAAAGATCATCCCCTAACAATATTGCAATGACATAACCCGAAACTTTTAAAAGAGTATATCTCACTTCTTTTTTTATTTTGTTCTTCTGTATCATCTACGCCAACTAGGTTCCATTTCACCTGCAGATTGTGGAGATACAAACCTTTTGCCAGTGCCTCTTTGTACTTCTCCTCGGCAACGTTCAGGTTGTTCACGTAGGTGGCATGATGCTTGCTGTGGTGCAGCTGCATGATCTCTGCATTAATATGAGGTTCCAGAGCACCATAGTCATATGGCAAGTCAGGAAGAGTGTGCTTTTGCCTAGAAACCAAGCACCCCAAGGGTGCTACCAACTTGGCACTGCTTCTAGAAAACAACAACAAAAAAAAAAACCCAGAAGTAGTCTTACTCAGTAAAACTTGGGCTTTACCAGTGAAATAGACTGCATACACTTCTATTTTGATCATCTGCTTTAAGTACGTGGGGTGATAACTTAGCCAAAGAAATCAAATTTCCATTTCTCAAGAGTTTAAAGCAAGCATGCTTTGCAGCTTAACTGCAGAGATGAATTCACACAAAGGTCACACATACAGGGCTTTACACTGTGAGGCTGCTGCTTCTCAAACCGAGCTTGCAGGCCACCGCAAAGACTCATGTATCCTCCCAAGCACTCACGTGAGAAAAAAAGCAGGGATAGCAATGATGGTAACCTGATGACATTCAAAGCTTCACCTAATCTTTATTGATTAAAAATAGAAGCAAAGATGTCACCTAAGCGTCCTTCCCTCGCTATCGACAAGGTCCGTGCACTGGTAAGTAAAGACTGTAAGAGCTATAAAAGCTGCACAGTCACCGGGTTCCCAGGACTGACTCTCTCCAGCATTCGCATGGACATGTGTTCCCTATCCCCACAGGGGCACCGGGAAACCACACGGGGCGTCACACCGCGATGCCCGGCACAGACACCGCGCAGGCTGTGTTACCCTTCCCTATTTTAACACCTGGCACTTGTCATGCGACACAAGGGCCACGACGAGAGGAGAATCGCCGGACCGGCAGGACGCTCAGCCCTGAGGCCCGCCGTCGTACCGCTGGTGACCTTGACATCAGCCAGGGACACACCGCCAGCGAAGCCCTCGGGACCACGACGAGAGGCCGGGTGCCGCGACCCCGGCCACCAAACCCAGGCGGGTTTGGCAGCACCGTGTCAGGCCACCCGAACTCCCCGGCGGACGGCGCGGGCAGGACCTGAAAGCGCTCAAGGACGAGCGCCAGGAGCGCCCGCAAGGGCGGCGCCGACCCGGCGGGGCAGCGGGCAGCAGCGCGACCTCCCCGCGCGTGAAATGGCGGGGGCAGACACCGAGGGGCGAGAAGACGACCCTCCCGCCGCCTCCTCCCCCGCTCCCGCCGTCCTGCCCCTGGATCGGCGGCGGAGGACGAGGGCGGCAAGGGCAGCGAGGCCACCGGGTCCCGCTGTGGGGCTCTGCCCAGCCCCGCGCCTTCCCCGCGCGGCGCAGCGCTCACCTGCTCGCGGCGGCAAAGCGGCGCAACATGGCGGCGTCTGCAGCCGGGCGCGACTCTCACGGCGCAGCCGCGGCCCGCCCGCCCCCGCCGCGGGGGCTGAGCCCGGCCGAGCCGCAGGTGACACACCCCGCGCTCACCCCGGCCTTCGAATTCGGGGAAATGCCATTTCTTAGCAATGGGTGTAGCTCGTCCTTATGAACGGAACGGCTCTAGAATCCTTATCGCAAAACTCAGGCCCGCCGTAGTTCAGCCGAGGCGCGGCTGCCTCAGCGCCCCGACGGAACAGCCGAAATGCCGCGCGGTGCCCGTGCCCCGCCAGGACACAGCAGCGCAGCAGAGCTCGCTTGGAAAGCCTGCCGCCCACTGACACGGCTCCGGCACCGCAGGGACCACCACCAACGCTACCGCTCCAGCTTTTGTCTACGGCTTTGCTGTTCTTGGTTCATTTCTGTTCTTTTACCCATTTATTGGACATCTTGTTTTCCCCAAACACGTGTTTCCTGCATGTAGCAATTCAGCATCCTCTGTTGCTCATGAAAATCCTTTACCCAATTTAATGCAAACGAGTCCAAAGACCCATTAAAAACTGGCTCTCCAGCGAGGGCAGGGAGGAGAAGCTCATCCCTCACAGTTAGGAGGCACTCTGCAGACAAGACAAACACTAGGTAGAATTTAAATTGTGCGGAATTAATCTCTGCTACCACAAAACAAATTCTTCATACTTTGTCTTTCTAAATAAATACATATAGCCTTGAGATATTACAGCACCCACATTTAGCAGTCTGTAAAAATTCAAATGACAAAAACTCAGTGGGGGCTAAGCCTGAACAATTTTGTTGAGAATAAATAACCTCATCTTGCCAATTGTGAAGAACTCGATCTGGAAAGATCCACAAAGGGCATCTCAGGCCCTGGAAGACACAGTGCTTCCATCCCTCACTTCTCCAGGTATCCTAGAAAAGGACAGTAGTTTAGTTTCTCTGATGAGCCAGCAGTGCTCTTGCAGAATCTGAGCAGTGAGAATAGGTGCTTTAACAGCAGCTAAGACATAAGGCAAATTGTCCAAAATCAGCAAGTTGTGTCTTCATCCCTGACTACTGAAAATACATTCAGCAAGATATATAGGTTATAACTAATTTTAAAAAGGAATATATTGTATTGATTGGATCAATAAAATGTCATTTTTTTGTTAAAACAAACCAACTACATTCAGGATTATTAAGTGTCATAATACACACATTGCCAGACAAAACCAGGAATATAACAGGTTTTTGTAATTAGCATTAGCATATGCAGTATTACACTGCAGTGCACTCATGCGTGTAGCAAGAAAGCAAGTCAATTATGTAATTATATTATTACTTTTATTATTGACTGGCACAGTTGCTGGGTTGCTTTCTCATTTCAGGAAAAAAAAAAAATAACACAAAGCACCCCAGCCTGCTTATTTAGAAGACACCTTCTAAGCAGAGGATGACAAAGGGTATGGCTTGTCTTACCTTTTTATTTCCAAAAACTTAAAGTCTAATGGCATAAATTGTATTTCTGATTTACTATTTAAAAGGACCATACCATTTCAGAAAACAAAAACCTCATGTAAAGTCATGAATGTCCTGTAATATTTGACTGACTTAAGTAAAACATCATCACCACCTGAGAGCTATGCCTTTTAATGACCACAGATTTCCTCACAAGGCTTTTTACCATCTGATCACTGTATTATCAGCATTTGAAGCTTCTTACAAAATACCATATTTTGCCATGTACAGGATCCAGAATGTACATATATCTATGTTACATAAGCAATATGATGTTAAGATCAAACAAAATTCATCATCATCAGGGACTTCTGTGATCTAAAAACTCCTTTGGGTGCCAGCTGCCAGTACCATTTTGTATAGGTGTTTGTCACTTCCCTTTCATGCATTCAACCACTCAACTGCCATTTTTCAAGCAATAAGGCCTGAAGCAACAATCAAAAAGCAACAAGGTATCACAACAGAATTTATACTTCCAGTGACCACTACCAAGTGATTTTAGAACACTGATGTGAATCCTATGAAATTAAAATAGCAGTGGTACTACCTATGGGTTAGCATGTTTCTAATACAGACAAGCATACCTGGTAGCATTTTAATTACATCCATTTGTCTGGACAATATTAGTGCAGATACTAATTTTTGTCACTTAAAAATGCTACCACAGAAGCCCTTCTATAAGAATTTACTGTAACTGTAAATTTAAAAAGTGTGCTCTATAACTTTTGATAAATACTCCTTTCAAATAAGTCTGCTTCCACAGCAAATTGCAAAGCAGTTAAGCTATTTATTATTATTTTAGTAGCTACCTATGCATTAATTTTATTAGTCACCTGGTAATTACAAGACGCATAAGTAGAAAAATGTTTACACTGGACTTAAGTCCACCCTAAGTACTTTTTTCCTAAGTCCACTAAGTACTTTTTTCTTACCTTGAACAGTGCTTTTTCATCTTCTTGCTCATGTGCTACCAACACTAAACTAGTAGAGGGAAAATAAACACCAGAAATCCAGGTTCTGAAATTCACAGCTCATTGCTACTGAGCAATAAAAGTATGTTGAATTAAAGGGAATTCTTTCATTGTCTGTACCTGTAAAGAAATCAGTTTTCTCAGGCAGGCATTTAAAAACAAAGTTATCCTGTTCAAAAGGATGAATTGCTAATTCCTTATGTTTTTTGTTTAATTTGTGCATTTACCTGTTAGGTACTTCAAGCTTTTGGGTTTACTTTGTCTTTTGAGGTTTTTTGTGATCATTAATAAGACCAGGTTCAAACTCTACAGTTTACTTTTATTAACTTCTCCTTTCCACCTCCCCCCACCCCCATCCCCACCCTTTTTCTGCCAATAAGGACAAAAGCTCTGGAACAAGCACTATCAGGCTGTCTTGAAATTAGTACTAGTACGCACCTACAACTTCATATATTGGGCATATGCTGTATCAGAGAGGATTGACACAGATACAAACTCAACTCAAAAGCAAGAACTATAAATACACCGCATACAAATAAGCCATGTAAGTCAATGCAGAACAATGAGGAAATTACATTATTAAAAGTTTTTATTTAGGTTTGGTCAGTACAGGTAAGATAATATTGGAGTCACAGAGCAATATGCATCAACAGGATACAACAGTTCTTAAAAACTGAGTAACTATGCACACAATTCATAAACATTCGGTCACCTAAGGAGAAAATGCACAGATGTATGGTGGGAAAAACTGTAATTAACACTGAACTACTACAGGACTCCTTCAGTAAGTCCATCTTTTTAGTGATAAAACTACTGTACTGGGCAAACTTGGCAGTCAAACCCACATCTATTATGACAAGTCTTGAAGGTGGTGTTAAGTATAACAGTATGAGTAAGAATGCCCTTACACAGCACAGGTTTCTAGATATACAGAGATTTGTACAGACATCATTTATGTTATACTTTATGGAAATAATTTCCATTTCAACTTCACATTAACTCATATAAAAATAACTTGAGCTACACAAACATCCTTTTAGCAACATTCAACGTAATTAACTGTTAAAATTTCCAAAGTGGCAGAGGTATTGAAGCAAAAAGAAACCCACAAAAAGGCAAAATTGTGACAAGTATGCACTAATTTAAACGGCTTCTGGACAGTATCCTCTCCCAAATTCAATGACACTGTATAAAAATTTTGCAGAAAAAATGTTACAAAACTGAACCCTGCACATTTACATTGGAGTCCAAACCATTCTGGACATGACGAGAACCCACAGTTCTGTTACCTTTCATGCTCACTGTTTTCTCCTCTTGAGGATCATGATTGGAGTCTGTGTCATTTGAGTGGTGAGTGAGTGAGTTTTCACTGCCAGTGGGAGAGTCTACACTTTCATACCCAGTACTGAGCTGGTTTATGTAGCTACCACTTCCTCTACCAGTTCTATCTTCAGAGTGGTTGGATAGCTTATTACCATTCCCTGGAGAAGCCGGGAAGTCATCTTCCGTGCCGCTACCCTCCCTATAAAATCCAGGCCCAGATGTCCGCTGATGGGAGGAGCTGCCATTGCTTGGTCCGTTTGCCAGGCGGCTGCAGTCTTTGCCCGCAGCCTCTCCCTGCTCTGTGGGCTCAGAGGATGGAGTCCTGCTGGTGCCTGGGTTGGACGCCTGGGGCTGCTGCTGCTGGTATTGTGCCAACTGCTGGCGAGTCTCCTTCAACTGCTGCTGAAGAACTAGAATGGTACTCTGCATACCCTCTACCTCCTCATCAAGCTGGATGATGAAGTCATTCAATTCTATGTAAAGAAAACACATTTGTTGCAAACACTTAATAGCCCATAGTTTAAATCTCAGACAAGATATTAAAATCCTTTAACTCAGCGTTTTATACCGGAATTTTTTAATGAACTATTTCTCAGCCATCAGGTATGCACTGGTTTTAATACTCTGCCTCTGAAGGAGAAAATGCTTAACAACTGTAGTATCTCCCTATTTTCTGTACTGCTACTGAAAATATGAGAAAAGTAACTTCTGGGCAAGAAAGGAAGATACTGGGAAAAGCTCGATTGCAGTAATTAGTATTTTGCAAGTAGAGCCTATTGTGTCTACTTTTACTCAAGTATTAATTGCTGGCAAAAATACTGTAAAAGTGAACATGAACCATATCCACATGTAACAAATCTGAGTTACTGCAAAACTCTATTCAGTAGCCAAAAGTAGTAGTTTTTCATCATATTTCAAAGAAGTTTCAGTTCTTACTGTGTTTAATCCTTTAAATCCTTCAAGAGAGGACACAAAAAGACCTTCTTACGAACAGATTATTAACTAATCTCACAGTGTGTTTTAATATTTATGTATCAGAAGAAAGTTTTGACAATTAGTATTGCATTCTGGAACAAAACAAATTTGACCCCAAAATAGTATAAGAAACACTGATTCGGTCTTCAGTTCAACTGCACCATCAGTATGCCAGAGGAAATAAAATGTAAACTGATTAATATTGCCAAAAAAAATTTAAAGTGTTCTTGTTACTACAGAAAACAATCATTAGGAAAATTCTTACTGCAAGAATATCATAATCTTGATTCATATGGGGAAGAACCAACTTAATGCTAGAGATTACCACATTCAAAACCAGTAGCTTTAATGAATGTCTACACTTCCATTATGTACTTGGCAAATTTTGTTGAAGTGCATTATCAAAACAGTAGTTACTATTCCCACAAAATGACACTATACAATTATTTACTTTAAGAGTTCCAGTTATTTTATACTGCTACTTTCTCAGAGATGGAAATATAACTGGGGGAAGATCTAGTCTTAAAAATGCAGGACGTCTCAAGACTTGGATGGGATGCCGTATCAAGTTTCTGGTATCTTACAATCTTCAGATGTAAAACAAACAAAAATATATTCAGGTCTATGTGATGCCTATATAGGTTATATCCCCCAAGGATAACCTATAGGTTATATTCAGATGATCTAATCTAACATTCTATGAAGAGCCACTGACACTACATAGAATTCAAGACTGAAGACTTAAACCTGCATTTTCCCCTCCATTTAAATTACGCAAGAGGTCAGAGTTTTTAGATAATTTCAATTTAGGTTTGTAGCATCACAAAATTTAGACTATAAACACGATGAGACATGTTCATTCATCTGAGTTACCAAAGGGAAAAAAGAAATCAGTTTTTCATATTCTTAGATGATTTTTTAAAATAAATTCCAAATGAGTCAGTTAACAAGAAGCTTTCTGTTTTCAGTGCATGCCTAGGCTTTGTGTTAAGATTTCATCTTGCCAATTTACCAGTAATGTGTGCAGTCTAAACATTTGCTATTAAATTGCAAGACTTACAGTACAAAAATCTCAATTTCAAACACTGCATTACTGGAGCTGCGAATCCCACCAGTTCCCCCAAAGTTAAGGATTTTGTTTGTTTTTAACTAAGACTACTAATTAATACTTACTATTGTCATATTTTACTCAATACTGCCCTTTCATTCTGGCAAAGGTGATTTTGTATTATGAGTATTATCACAAAATTAAACTTGCAGAAGTGCAAGGCAACTTCTATTTTTATTAAAAAATCCCTTACCATCCTGACTGCTTTTAAGTTCCTCACTATATTTCTTCTGTAAAGCCAATTCTGCCTCAAGCTGTGCAATACGTCCTTGGGACAGCTGCCTTCCAAGCTCTTGATTCTCCTGGATAAGCATTCGACACTTCGCCATTAACTTTTTCCCTGTTTGGCTGCAAAGGAAAGAGCCATCTATCACAAAATGAATATAAAACCTTCAGTTATCTTCCTCAATCACAATTACAGACAAAAAGGAGATACGATTTCTGCATGTCACAATTGAAGGAACATTATGCCTCAACATAATCGTCATAGCAGAAAGTCTCCCAATAGTTACCACGTGCTGTTCCAACGCCAGTTGATCTTCTGTCGCTGTCCCACAAAGTGGAAGGCAAGTTTTATTACTGAAAATATGAATAAGCATATTGTACTTTTTTAATACCAACATCTGGATTATCAGTATGCACAATTTTGCATGTGCCAATTCTTAATGGAGTTAAATATTTGATTAAAGATGTGTTTTGCAATTCAAAATATCAAGGACTACATAGAAACTACACAAGCAAATTATAAGCAAAAGAATTCCCCATTTGTTGTAGTAATGAAATTTAATAACTGAATTTGGGTGAAGAAAGGTTGCTTGGGGGAAATAATAAATCTCATGTTCATTTTTCATACTGATGACTGTTTTTCTTTAAGAGGTTTAAACATTCATTTAAATGCTGTCCAGATACTCATTTAAAAAATGAGATGTCTATTTTTCATCTCAACTTGTATGTTTGACAGTCACATGCACAGTCTGCTTCATAATTTCTATGGTCAGCATTTCTTAAGTACATCTTACATGGTGAAGAGGAATGAAAATATATATAGCTGAACACTGGAAGGACATTAAGGAAGGGGCATACTATTATCTACTTCCTTTAAAATGACATATTTCAGATCATAAGTAATGATCATTAGGACATTCCATTTCTGAAAGAAATGTGAAACAGATAGGAACTGACAAGATTTTCTTTACTAAATTGGTAAGATTACACATCTTTAATCTTCATGATAAAAATCTCATTGTAAAGCATTATAGGAAGTAGTATGCAAATTAATATATAGGCAATACAGCTGACTCCATGAAAGAGAAAAATTAAAGTCCTTTAGGACTCTTAGTCTGCCAAGTCAGAATAGCATCCTCAAACAGTTCTTTTAATAGGCTCAGCACCATAATGAAGCTGTCTTCTTTTCTACAGAAGTGCAAGCTCTGCCAAAACCCCCAAACTTGAACAGTTTTATTGTGAATTCAATAGCAAGACTTGCATTACTTCTCAAGACCAAGGTGGTCATTTAATTTTTTGTATGCTTTTAAACAAATGACAAATACTGAAAAAACCTGAGGATTAAAAAAGAAGAGGAGGAAATATCTACTACAGTCACAGCCACAGTTCTCTCCTGCAACCAAAATACAAGAATTTAAAACAGCAATTTCCTTATCAACTACCTTCTGAGCACTCAAGCCTTAAACAACTTTTAAGTTCTCTGCCAACTCTGCCCCATTTAACATTTTTCAACTGACTTTCCCAAATCTTTCAGATGGACTGCTCCAGAAGGAATCTGGCTGTGTAAAGTCCTGAAGGCCTGAAAATCTGCTAAAGGCAGCAGCCTGTTTTCTTTCTTGATGTGATGTCCAATGCCAGGTCCTTGAAGTTTAAATTGTGCCGACCTAATACAGTCCAAGTCGCACATTTAAGATGCAAGTTTCCTTAGAGATGTTCATTCTGTGCAAAGCAGGACCACTTTGGAGATAACCAATGTGACAGATCCCAAAAGTTATTAGGCAGACATGATTTTTAGCCATTTGCAAATTCCTGTTACTGTATTCATCATCACTACAAATGGAAAAAGTTTACAATGCTTGAGTCATTAAACGCTTTTCTCTTCACAAACCAACATCAAATGAAGAATCAGCAAGTTCCGGTTACCTTGGAATTGGGACAATTTTAGAATCCCATTAATATCTTCAGGTTAACTTCTGCCAAAATGTAAAATATTTATTACCTGTATAGAAATTTGCATAGTTACCTATAATGCTATTTCTTTCCATCAAAACTTTTCCAGATGTTCTGAACTAGTAGAAAATAATCCTTGCAATTTACAAAAAAGACAACACATTCAAGAACATTAAATACATTAACTACTAAAATAATTCCTATGAACGGTAAAACTCAGTTCAGCATTGTTTTCACAAATCCTCTTGAACATACATGCAACAAAACCTGTAAGAATGTAAGTGGTTAAATTTCAGAAGACTAAAGTTTGTTGTACTAGGCTTACTGCAAAATGACATTTTAACTAATTTTGATTCCAAATTTATACTCTGCTTAATGATGGTTAAAATGGCTTAGTATAGCCATTCCTTTGATTACATGCCCTTTTATTTCCCCCTTCAGACATCAGCAATGTTTATGCTGAACAACCTTATCTACATTAAGGTCCAGAACTATCTCTGCTTAGGGCTGCAGTTAATGTGTTAACCACCCCAAGAACACCAGTTTAAGACCTGAATAGGGCCATTTCCTCTTTGAAAAACTAGGCCAGATGCCAGGAATTGAGTAGTTGTGTACAAGGATGGATAATTAAAACAACTGGGGGAGGGGGCCCAAGATGCAAGGAGAATGAAAAAAAAAACCCTACAAATATTTTACATTAGCCAATTTCTTCACCTTTCAAGAAATAAAAACCAGTAAAATCTTAACCCAGTTAACAAAGCCTCGATTATTTACCAGGAAATAGCTAACTTTCTGTATTCCAGCCACTGCATGTATAAATTATGCACATTCACACCACTGACTTAAAATTCTATGATGCAAATTAGGGTATGTTGTAGCTATAGAAATAATATTTTCATTTGACACTTGGGTTTGAAAGGAAGTGGCAAGTTACTTGTCTCTCTTCAGCTGTACTCACACATTCAGAGCCTGAAGACTTTAGAAAACAACCAACCTGTATCTAAATGTATTAAATAACTTTCAGAACGCCAAGTTAGAAACAAGCGATCCACATGGCATGCCTCTTTCAACACATTGCAGTGAGCTTTACAAATGGCTTGGTAACACATTAATAATTTATCAATGTAAGTCTTACCTCTGTTTTGATGCTAGATCAATAAAATCTTAGATACTGCTATAGCAAAATCATTCCAGATGTATCACTTTTAAAAGGTAAAGTTTTTCTGTGGATTTTTCTTTTGGTGTTAAGTCATTACTCATGCAAAAAAAAATAAACCTGCATAAGTATACTACTCTTTGTTCCCGTATTAATCATCTGAAGCATAAACAGTTAAAGATACTTCCAAGTCAAAATTATGTAAAGGCATCTTCAAGTCAGCAAAACTGTTAGAATACATCACCTCTGTGACAGTTGAATGTCTCTTTTTAGTTTAAAAAACTCATTTTTAAATTGAGTCATAAAACGTTGCCCAACTGTTTCGAAAAATCAACACCTCAGATTACTAAATAGAACTCTATTTGCTACGGGAAAAAACAAACACACAAATGCTTTTACAGACCTTAGATGTGCACTCCCAACTGTCCCAGATCGCTACTCTTACAAGTAACTTGGGACAACAGAACAGATGCATCAAGAGAATAGCAAAAACTCCTTCAACTGAATCCACCAGCATGCATTTAAGGTTTTTTTGGTTTGTTAAAATACTGACTTATTTTTCAGTGAACGAGACAATGCAGAATTATCAACCTGTTCAATTCTCGTTCATCCCAGGAGTTTCAAGATACAACAGTATAACCAGAAGTGTTCCTTAAACTAGGTGTTACAACTATTTCAAGGCACATTTTATAGAGAAGCACAATACAAAAACCCCAGGTGTACAACGGAATAAAAACACCCCACCAACACTGAAGACAGTTGCCATCATGTGCCTTCTGTATTAAGCATTTAAGATCAGTTCTTAGAATGAAGATTGAAAAATTCTCATTTCTGCATGAAAACATGCAGTGAAATTCTTATCACAACCAGTTTTTCTTATACATGCTAGTTGTGATCAAATATGTATTGCTTCAAACAATTTTAAACCTGCATTTAGATGGAACGTACATTTTTGTATAGTCCTAATTTTGAGGCGTCCACAGTATTACCAACCATCCAGAAAACAGTTCATTATTTAGCAACAGTGACTTAAAGCTGCATCAAGTGCTAGAGCACCCAAAGGCTAAACAGTCAAATATGTAGACTACCACTGTTGTGATATCAAATAGCACTCTCGTGGCTATTCAAAACTGGTTAGCAAGTAAACTCTTTAATGCAAAATTCACCTCATCGAGTTTTGACCCAGCAGTTCAGTGAACAAGCAGGAAGTCCACAGTCTTATTGGCAAAACTGACTTACAGTGTCTCTAAGTCACTAGGCTCAAGGTTAAGAGCGAAGCATATTCCACTTCTACATTTTACGGGAATTTTACATGTTCAATTCATGATTTATAATCTCTAGGTTCTCTCTCCTCCAAACTGTCTGTAGACACAGTGTGCCACAGACTTAAGACTTCTGTTTCTCCCTCTATTTTCTTCAAATAGAACAATTTTGCAAATGTCTACATGTTCTAGAAAGATTTTTTCGAAGATGGCCATTTCTTCAGAACAGTCCGACGCTGTCAGGCCTCTGAAGCAAAGGGGAGAAAAAAGCTGAAACACAAGGCTCATCTGGTAAGTTTTACATTAAGCATTACAAGCTGGACAGTATAAAAATGTGGCTTTTGCCTCAAAACGTCTGAGTCTTGGTGTGGAAACGAGTACTTGGCTGTCCCACCATAGCATTCTCGTAGTGGGACTGTCAGGGAAGTCTTGACTGGGGAGTATTTGTTTTGTTTACCTATCAGGCGTAAATTTCCAGGCACTCAGTTCATTTTGGGCTTGTTCCAGTTTGTCTTTAGTCTGTTCCAGTTCACCTTTCATTTTTAGGAAAAACAAGTTGATGGCTGGGTCTACCATTGTTGATCGCAGTTGGGCAACACTAGGCTGCTGGACTTGCTTGAGGTACTGAATCTGATTCTGCATAAAATAAGACAAAAATACTGTTATTCATACAATAGTAAAGACAAATTTCAAGTAATTTTAATACAGTATTTACTCCAAAATTAACATCAAGGCATATTGCTTTCTTTCACACTGTAACCTGAAAAACCCAGGATAAAAATCACTTGTACACACAGATTGTCCTCCAGATCGCAAGATTATTTTCTACATGTCAATTTCTATTTGCTAGAGCAGTATCTGGAGCATTAGAATGATCCCTTTCTTTTGTATCTGCCTACACTCCCCTCCTGAGGAACAAAGAGCATATGGGAAGAATTATCTGCTTAAAACAGACAGTTAATTCCCTCTTAAGTTCAGTGGAAGTTATTAAGGAACATTATAGCAAAAACTGACAAGAAATATTTACAAGCAAATAAAAAGGTTTTTAAAACCTTCTTAGGTTTTTTGTGACTACAATAATCACTTATGATGCAAAATTGTGTATCTCTAAAAAATAATTTAGAAGTATTAACAGGAATTAAAACAGATCTTGGTTGGATTTTATTCTCTTTGCAAAAAGCACAAGCCAAAGGAGTTACAATTTTATATGTTTAAAACACTTGCAATAGTCAAAATTTCAAAAGTAGTAACTGAGAGGTTTTCTTTTAAATATAGTGTTGATTGCTCAAAACAAATGTAAATAAATAGTATTAACTTTAAAAGCTTCTTCAATTTCAATCCCATCACAACAGACATATCTCAAATTGTACGAAAAGTATGTGTTTAGAACTCTGTTAATCACCAATCCTGAATCAGCCTGCACACAATGTGTTAATTTTTAAATTCAATTTATTATGCTCCCTATATCACACACATTTCTTCATCAGCAAGAACACACGATGTTGAAAGACATTAATTGGAAGTCAGGTGGTTTGCTTCCCATGCAGGCAGTCCTACAATCAGACTTGAGAGCAAGAGTTTAACTGACAAACCCCAAAGAGAAAGAAACCTCCTGCACTCTTTCATTTCCTTGGGACACACAGCACAGCCAGCAGCATTGACAGCTTAACCATGTTCCTGTACATGCAATTACTCTCTGACAGGGTCTTTATACAACAGTGGTGAAGAGGAAGTACAGAAGTCCTATGTACATGCAGTATGCAATAGCAATCTCAGGCACTTCTAAATTGAGTATAATATGTTTTAATTTATATATTGTTAAGTAGTAAAAATGTCTGGATTTTATTTCAAGTAAGTGGTTTCAAAGGTACTGGAATAACTGAAGTATTTCCTTTGACACATTAATTTGATATTATAAAAATAAAAATACTTGGCTACTTAAAACTGTATCACCATACTTTAAATTTTAAATAGACAAAGTTTTTTGTACACAGAAAGAAATATAAAAGGAATAAAGCACTGCATATAAATATTTTCAAGAAATAAAGAATTCAAGAACCCATATACAATGTGGGTAATGCACCTAGAAACAGGAAACCTAGATTAAGGTTATGCTAACATTTCTTGGACGGCATTTTATCTCTCAGGTCCTTTGCCTCACTGAATGCACAATATATTGTTCACTGAATAACAATCAATTTTAGTCATTGTTATTGATGCACATTTTGTATCAACTCAGTGTTTTTATTCTTCTGCTACTGAAGTATTTCAACAACCTGTCAATTCTTTGTTATGGCTAGAGCTAGTAGACAGTAAAATGGACAACTTCACCAGCAACTTATTTCAGATATATAATCATGATACAGCAACATTGCTGCCAATCCATTTTTAAAGAGCCATCACTAACTGGAAAAAAAAAAAAAAAATAAAGGCCATGTTCTTTGTCTTACCAAGGCCCAGATTCCTTCCACTGTAAATATAAAACCACAACAGATTCCCTGGATCACTAGCATATAGAATTGCTGCCGCTGCTCCTCAGTCATGCCAGAAATGCACTTAAACACTCTGCAGGACCCAGCCAATGCTGTCAAATAACTGGCATTGCACAATCTCATTGGGGTCTCTCCAGCTCACACTCCTGAGCCCAGCAGATGGCACCTGCACAGGACTTCAGCTCAACCATCATTTCTAAAGCAGTCATGCAGAAAAAAAAAACTTACTTAAGTTTAACAATCTTTTGCTCATTCCCTCCCCAAACTTGAAAGATCATTCTTTGCATCTACTTTTTCCAACTTAAATCTTCTCAATTCCTCCAAAATGCTTTCTCCAGTTGTTAACTCCAGAGTTCTCATCCATCAGGCTTTTCATCCATGAAGACCTAACAACCTCCACCCAGTATGACCTGCTCCCAGAGCAAGCCCAATTTTCTTCCCCTTTCTGCTGAATTCCTAATAATGTTTTGTCTTCCTGCTCAGCCAGTCCAAACCTCACGTTCTTGCTCCCTCTAATCACTTTCTGGTGTGAGTCACCTCCCATTGATATTCCAGGTGGTAAGGGTTAGGGAGCAGGAGAGTTTACCTACAGTCAGGACCAACTTCAGCCTACAGCTGAACATACAGGAATAGTCATGTCCAATGCCAGCCCCAGGGGAATTCCCAATCTGTAACACCTGAAATGCCTACAGACTGTTCATATTCCCAAACATGAAAGCACACACCAGCTGGTATTTTTCAAAAGCCCATCAGATGGACAAGCAGACGTTATTTTCACAAACAGAATAAAAATCTTGCTATCAGCTCTCTCTCTGTTCCAACCCAAGGCAGCAGTGTAAGCAGTCTATTTAGAGAACATTGGGCTGTGTAAGGTTTTGTTCATGTGAATTTTTATTATTTTGTTAGAGACAGACAATAACATTTTCAATCCCCCTTGGAAACAGTTGCATGCTTTCAGCTGAAATCATCCAAAGATAACTACAAAGAACAGACACCCTGAACATGACGAATTTAGGAAAACAGATCAGAGGTGCCTGAGAGAAAGTGTGAGCAACCTAAGTCAGATCAACTGTATATCCTTCTTATAAGGAAGGAATAAAGCGCACAACTAAGAAGAGAAAAAACACAACACAGCTGTAACCTAAACCACAAGAGTAATGACTACCTATGCTACAACAATCCAATTGCACCTACAGAAAGTTCCACTCATTGTTATCTGTTCCATTAAATACATACTTGAGCAGCAAGTATTTCCAAATGTCTGCCCACTTACTGACTCTCAGTAACTGTGCAGTAGCCTGGAAGGAAGTTAAGGCCTTTCCCTGAAGGGGCATTAACGTGACCAGCATCTCTGTCAGAAATAAACAACAGCCAATACCTTAGCCACACTTCCCCAAGACCAGCAACCTCTTCTAGAGGTTGTTCCTGGGGAAAGGTAGCTCGAGGCTGCTGCTGACAACAGGACACACAGACTGTTAAATGCCTGAACTTCAAGGTAGACCGTAGTGACCCTAAAACCACAGAGTAACTTTGCAGAACCTGCCACAGATTTATACTAAGCTGCTGGCTCTGAAAAAATCCATGTATTATCCTGCTAGACTCAGCACAGAGCACTAGAGAGAATGGAGCTATGTACTCCCCTCCCATCTTGTTTCTTCAAAAACAGTACTGACACACAAGAAGGGCAACGATTCTGCTACTGCTACTCTGATATGCACACCTACGCTTTCAAGATGACAACTGGTGACTTTCCTAAGCTGAAAACAAATTTAAAAGCTTCTATTTTAAAAAAGGGTGAAAATCAAAACAACAAAATAGAGTTCATCACATCCTATTTTAAAACAGAGCTATTGTACTTTAGTAAGCAAGGCATTCTACACAAGTGATCAGAAAACTCAGTCTCTGCCAACTATTAGCAGTTGAATATGGTATGGTATTAAGTTTTTAGCTATTTAAATTTGAAAGCGGTAAGTTTGTAAGAATAAAATGTCCCAAAAATACACCTGTAGTTTTTCAAGAAACTAGACACCATAAATGCTCAGTCCCTCTAATTAAAATGTGACAGGAAACACTGAAGGCTTACATCTAGGTGTTACTGGAATATTTCACATGTTAAGTGTGGATTACAAAAAATTGTTAACTAAAATATGGAAAAATTATTTTATTGATTAAAATCAGGCATGTCAAGTAACATCACATGATGAATAACTTAAATGATTTAGCAACCTGTAGCTTAGCTTTGCATCTTATCCAACATGACATATTTCTACTGTCACTGTAGTGAAAAAAATACTCTAGTAATACAAAGCCAAGCAGTCCTTCAGACCTTCTTGAAACTGTGCACATTTTTAAACTTCAAAATACATAAAGGTGCCCATGTCTACAATATACACCTCCAGTGTATCCATTTTAGAACTCTTCTTCAAGGATGCATCTTCCAACCTCAACATACTGTGGAGATTACATCCTCAGTGTTATTCTTGAGTCAAGAGCAGAAGAAATATAAGACACCTGAGTGTGTGGGCATGTGTCCGTTTTTTTTTTTTTTTTGGTAGGTTGTTACCCACTCTTTTTCCTTTTTTAAAGTACACTGAAAATAAAAGCTCTTCAGAAGTTCTTCTAAACAGATGTTTTGGAAAGATTATGCAGCTGTCAAAGTGCAGCCAAAACCCCTATAGTCTTCATGATATTCAAATCATTCATGACAGTCAAATTCAAAACATTAAATACTTGAAGTTTATAACTTCAAAGGAGGAAGAAAGGCAGATATACTACACACAATTTGGTTTTGGTGAAAAACTTTGTATTGTTTTATTTTGTACAAAATTTCTTTGTATTGATTTATTTTTAGTATTTACTGCTTTAGCTATCTGCTAAGAAGTTCAAAAGAAAAAAAAAATTGTTATTACTGCTGTTCCACAGAGCAGAATTTATCAGTAAAACTTCACAAGTGAAGCAGGACCAATGCAGTAGCCTTACAACTAGGGAAGTGTTGCAGTACTGTAGCAGAACAGATCTTCACTGGCACCCTGGCCTGCATTAGCAGAGTGCTGCCAACAGGCTGAGGGAGGTGACCCCTCCTCTCACTTGACACTGGTGAGGTATCTCGAGTACAGGTTGGGACACCTCAGTACAAGTGCACACATATTGGGGTGAGACCAGTGAAGGGCTGCGAGGCTGATTAAGGGGTTGGAACATGTGACACACAAGCAGAGGCTGAGAGTGTTAGGGCTGCTCAATCTAGAGAAGAAAAAGATCAGGAGATGTTACCAATGTGCATAAATACCTGATGGGGATTAAAGAAAGCAAAGTCAATGGTGCCCACTGAAAGCATAGAAAGTGATGGGCACAAACTGAAACACAGGAAGTTCCACTTAAATGTAAGAACACACATTCTGCTGTGTCAGTGGTTCAACACTGGCAGAGGTCACCAAAGAGTTTTGCAGTCTCCATTTCAGGAGATGCTCAAAAGCCAGTAGTGTGCAGTCCTGAGTAACCTGGTCCAACTGACCCTGCTGTGAACAGGCAGGCTGGACTAGAAACTACAAGTCTCTTCCAACCTTAATGATTCTGGGCTTTGCTTTTTGCCACTGCAAAGTAAGCTTAATCCCCTTTATATTTTTCCTGTTTATAACACTGTTAACTAAAGTGATCTTATGGTCTTAAGAGCAGCGGTAACACTGTACAGAGTTCAGTCATACTACTATACCTGACTGCTCTGAAAAACTTCAGGCAAAAAAGAAAGGAAGATTTAAAAAACAAAGGAAAGCTACAACACTAGTTATTAGTTTTGCACAGAGTTTGTATTTTTCATAAGAGGAGCTCTGAAGAGTATATTACCAAAACTATCAATAAGCTTTTTACAATCCTTTCAGAAACTGCCAGATTCAAGCAGAATGAAACTTATGTTAAGAAGGTAATCCAATATGAGATAGTTTCCAAGAAACCAAAACTAGACACAGATGTAAAAGTCACAGAAATGAAGGAATGAGAAACAAAGATAAACAAAATATGTATTCAGAACAGCAGAAATTAAGCAGATCTGCCAAATTTCGTGAGTTTTGAACAAGCCAGTAGCAACTTCACCTATCCAGCCAGCCAGAGGCTTATAAATAGGCTTACATTGTTATCCAAATGCAATATAAGTGTCAGCCTAAAAACTCCTAAATTAAACCAAATAAACTCCATCATATCCTTACATTTTTATTTGTTCCTGACTCTAATGATTCTCAGAAGTAACATTTTTGTAGATATGCACCACAGATAAATGCTAGAAGAGAGTAAGCATGGCACATGCAAGAATTAGCTTGGTTTAAAGTAAACCAAGTTTCAATCAAAACTGCTGCAATAACTAATATTAAAAAAACTCTAAACTTTTAAGGTGTGACCTTTACTAATTCAAACTACCCTGCTGTGTCTTTAAACACAGAAAATGCAATGATGTAGATACACAAAAAACATAGCATAGCATATAGGTACTGGTTCAACAGCTGATGTTGATGCAACAGTTTGAACACACTTATCCTTTCTAAATACTTACAGTACACTCTTGCATCTCCTGTTCCTTCGTTGCCAGCCTCATCACCAGAATATTTTCTCTTCGGGCAGACTCTTGCTGTTGCTGTTTCAGCTTCTCTTCAGATTCTCTCAGCCCCGTCACATCATTAGCTAACACAAGCAACAACACAGAGAAAGCATGTTTTATAGTACCCTCTCATAGGAAGTTTCTAAAAGATAGCTAAAAGAATGTAAAAACCAAATTCATAAACAGAAGTCAGTTACACTTTTTGCAGGCATGTTTATAACTAGCATAAACAAAAAACAGAATGCCATTAAGTATTGGAAAGCTTAAGAACAGGTGGCTTTAAAGCCATATTCCTGGTCCTTCTTTACTACTTATTAAAATTTTCAACATGTTTCCATGTTTATATAGGAAATCAATTTGTGCTGCAAAAACCAACCTACAGCCTGTAAAACACTGCTGTTTATGGGCAATCCTCAAACTGGCCTCAACACTCCATGAGCAAACAGTGAGATGTTCAAGAACATTCTGTCACAACTGGAATTTTGATCCATGGACATTTATGAAAAATTTTATATAAAATACAAGAGAAGGCAGCACATTTCCAAATTGCTCAAACAGAAACACATGCAAGCAACTCGATATCAACTGTATACATTCACTCTGCTACTTATCATATGTAAGACAATTAAAAACTTGAAAAATTTAGATTCTCATTTTTTCCTAATTTGTGGAGAATAATCAGCTGTAAATATAACCTGAACATCACAAATTGCTTCAGGACAATGACTTCTAAATAAATCTTTGCAGATAATTCATTAACACTGACTACTAGGGCTTGTACTGTTTCCAAAATTGAGAAATTGGGAACGCTGAAACAACTTATTTATCTATGTTTAGACACTCTAAGATGTGAATGAAATCACCTGTTTCCATTTGCTATATTTCATTCTCTCCAAAATCCAAAATATTATGAGACAGCAGTAGAAGGAGGATGTAACAACAGCAGAACTGAGGACATCCATTTGGACTGACAGAAAAATACCCTTCAAAATCAGTGGTACTACATCTTTACGTATTTAGACTGAAAAGGTGACTGAAAACAGGAAATATACCATCTCCAGCTGCAAGGTAACTTTTAAAAGTGACTTAGGATTGGCTGTTTAGTCACTTCCAGAATGTATTCATATTTTATCATTTCACAGGAGCATGCTTTCCCCATATTACCTTCCAAAAGACAAAGTTTTAATGACCATGTAAGAACGACAATCAAATTTGCCTAATCAGATCAAGTAATCCTTGGGGATTCACTTTAGACAGTTACCTCTAAACACTGTTCCCCCTCCCAGCCTTACAATCCTGCAAGACTACTAAAAGCACAGACATTCCTGGGGTATTTCAGTAGATGGAGTTTCCTTTTCTAATGGTAAAGTTCTAAAGTACACCAATTTATAGGGTTTTAGTTTGAAGCTTTTCCCTGCCGAGCAGTCTGTCCCCTATAGATGCAAAAATAAGACTTTTTAGATGGTGGGATAAATTTGCAAGTGGAAAAAAAGTTGGTAAGAAAGCTGGGAGAGGCCATCTATTTACAGTAAAAAACAGGGTGTGGGATGTGCTCCTGGGGAAGGCAGTTCGGGGATGCCATGGGAAACTGCATTTGTGTAGGATAGGGCATTCCCCCAGAGTTCTCTTCTTCCCCATGCAGATGAGCACATGTGTATCATCTCCCCAAGTTCTGGAAAGGTCCCAGTTCTTGTTACCCCCATTGGTTCTCTCTATAAAACCACTCCTTTCCTTCTCCCTCATCAGTCCAGTTTACGTCACCCCGTCCCTGCTCCTCCCCTATACCCCTTCCCCATTGGACAGCTGTACCCTAGTCACTCCGTCCCTTCCTCAGTTAGATACCCAGGTCCCTCCTCCCCCAGTTACTCTTGTAGCCTCCCTCCCCCTGAGTGCAGTTGTCTCCCTGCTCCCCTCTTCCTTGTCTTTGCTTTACCCTCAATAAACCCACGTGGATCCCAGCGGCTCAAGAGTCCTTCCATCTTTTGGTGGAGATTTTATTACACTATCCTAACAGACACCTGTAGACCAGCCAGCAGCAGGTTGCCCTGCGGGACTTGGTCCAGGGCAGCCTTTAACAGGGGCTCTTTTCCTAAAAACTAACTCATGTAACAGATTATTATATCCTACTAGAAGTTCTAGCACTTCTCTAGAAGTGCATATTACTTGATCACTCTCCTTTACACATTCTGATCATTTGCACCATTTTGAAACCTGGCAAACTTACAATTAAGGTCTGTGTACTTGCCCTCCAGAGCTTGCACGTATGCTTCATATTGTTTCCACCTGTCACAGATATAAAGAGAAAAAAAGAATTTCTGAAGCTCTGTTTATTAAATCAAGGCATCTCTAAGCTTTCAGAGCACACACTGATACCATAATCAGAAAATATCAAGGGGGAATTACGCAACTGCACAAAAGACAATTCCGGTTTTAAAAAGGGAGTGTTTCATCAGGGAAATAGTTACATCTGCTTTGTATCTCAGAGGAACAAAATAGTAATTGTGCATTACAACACAGTGACATCTTAAAAATCAGTATTTTAGGCAAACATTAGGATCAAACACTACTTATTTTGTTATCTTTGTAAAGTAACATAAGATGTAAAAATAAGATGTAAAAGATATACATCTTATTCTCATAGCAGAGCAATCCAAACAAAATTCTCTAACAGCAAGTGCAATACAAATGTAACATTAAGTATGTTACTAAGTGAACAGGACAAGCAGAAGTGTATCATAACACTAGAAATGGCAGTCTAGGTTAAGCAGTTGTATCAGCTCATTCAGGTTAAGACCATTCTCTGATTACATTCATTATCCATAAGCCAAACAGTTAAATAACTCTTTGAAAACATGTTATTTAGGAAATTCATCCTCAGTCAAAAAACATCACTTAAAAACAGCACTGTATTTTATACAAACCATCAAATCTGTAGCAAATAAAGTCTGCTGTAAAGTTTAGCATTAAATGCTTTATGAAAAAGTTTGCAGCACAGTGTTCTGGGATTTTTAAGTAGTACTTTGCCCCTAACTATGCATGTTCCTCATGATGGTACAACTGCACATTTTAAAGAAAATGTATCTAATAGCTTACCACTATAGAAGAAGGTGTCTGTTCCCTCCTCCCAATTACCTTCTCTCCTTGATGCGTATTTTATGCCAGACTCATCACAACTGCTCCATTTTGACTCTCTAAACTACACTACTACTTTAATTGAAACTATAAAATCTACCTCCAGGTAATTTAGACCATTTACTGAAATCAAACAGTATATCAAAAGGTCTAAAAAGCATCAGAGATCTGTAACAGCAAGACCACACCACTGGGAAAAGGAAAACAGAAGCATGAGATCTCTTCCTTCAAAGAACAAAAAAATTTTACATCTCTTCAGCTGAACATTGCAACAGTATGAACGAACTCTCAAAGCTCTGTAAAAGGGAACAGTAGTATTCGTACTTAACCCTTAAACTAATCTCTCTGCTCTAACAAGTATCACTATTTCAACATTAAAAATTCTATGTTAGTTCAGGAGATTTCAATCTCCCAGAAGTAAAACTGAAATGGCCTACTAAACAGCAAATCTAGAAAGAAAGAACCTAATTTTACATTTTAAAAGTGACATGCAATAAACAGTTGGTCTTCAAATATACAGGACTACTTCACTTAAGTTACACCTCACAGCCCAAACCCAGTAATTCTATCAAAATCATGAGACTCCCCTAACAGCTACAATATACAGAGCAAGTGAAATGAGGACATTACCCAAGTTAAGTAGACGTGCCAGAGCACTAGCTGAAAAAAAAAGAACTCCCAAAATAACCACCCACAAACAAAACAGGTATCCTACAGTCACCAAGAATGTTGTAGATAACAGCTGTAAGTCATCTCTCAACTGCTAATATGTAGGCAAGAACCTAACTCCTGGAAAAGAAAACTTAAGATGGCACTAGGCCATGTAATGGATTTCAAGTCACATGCCCACCAACACTTCTAGTAAATGTAACTATTCAGATGTAGCATTTTGTCAAAAACCTTGCTGTTCAAGCTGTTCATTTGGTCTGGCTGAGACTGAGGTAATTTTCTCCACAGCAGCCCTCACAGCACTGTGCTTTTGCACTCATAGCTAGAATGGTGTTGGTAACATACCAGTGTTTCTGCCACTGCTCTAAGTGCTCACGCATCATCAAGGCAAGTTTTCCAACATTCCCTCCTCACCAGCAGGCCAGGAATGGGCAAGTTCTTGGGAGGGAACACAGCCAGACCCTTGACCTCCTTGCCCTGCCCCAGATTACAGCTTCCAGCACACCTGTACCAGACTAAGGCAGCTCATTGCTGAAACTGAGTGGGGGAAGAATGACAAAGGCTAAAGGCAGATTTTTTCCTCCCATCAGTTTGCTTTCCACTCAATATAGTAGTTTATGTCCATAATCTGATGGTTCAAAATTAATAACCTGAAGAGCTTCACTGAAGTGCTACTTGGAAAAGCATTCAAGAACAGACACAGGAAAACTGGGAGGACACTCCTGAATCTGTTCTCTGTTCAAGGGATTGTTTACAGTCTCACAAGAACTGGAAGGTAACTAAGCAGCATAATTCCCTTAATCCTCCAAAAATATTTAGCAGACTTTATAGAGGTAATTTGAAGCTATGAAGTCCTAAATACTTGTTCTTGAAGCACCCATTTCTTATGCTGAGCTTTGGGGTTCACATTAAATGATAAGCAGTTAGGGGATAAGACACACACTGAACCCAGGCCATTCCAGAAATTACTAGCTCTAAGTCCCTGTTAACTGAAGTCTAGTAAAAGCACTGTATTGCCTCAGAAATGCTTCTGTATATTGGAATGGTTCTGTGTTTTACTAGGTACCCACTCAGCTAAACTATCAGGGCAATACTGATCAGATTTTTAGCTATGATCCACAAAGTATTTCTTTACCATATTCCTGGCTCTTCCTTCTCCCAGAAGCTCCTACAGTTAAGTGAACTACTGCATTAAAGAGGGGAAAGTTTAAGATAAGTCCAGAGCAACGAGTCATGAAACAAGCAGAAATTCAAGGTCAGGTCTAAAGGCTCTCTGTTGGTCCTGCTCATGTTTAGTCAACAAAAGTTATAATGAACAAACCTAAACTATGCACTTCATGGAAAAGAACAGTAAAATTGGGATTCATGGCACAGAAATTGACAAAGCCCCCCATTTTTTCTACATATGTATTTCATGACTGCAACTGTACAGCAATGGTGACTTTATTATCTAAAGACAAAAAGGTTATTACACACGTCTGTCTGAAAAAGCATTTGCCCCACCAAAGCACAGATCAAAAAAACATATTCCAAATCTTAAGGCAATCTAGAGGTCAACACATTTTTTTCTACATCTCAAAGTAATAGAAATGCCATTGACTAAAATATATGTCTAATAATAGTATTTTATTACAGCCTACAAGTGAAGCCAGCAGTCAGTGCAATAATTGCTAGCTTTACATGAAATCGCAATTAGAGGTGAACTTACTAGAAATCCATAATTTGACCCCCATACAAGAAAAAGTGTTTGAAAGACTGATCTATGCAAACTAATCAAATGGACATAACCAAAATGGAATTTAAAGTTCCATTTCTGGGTATATTGAACAGTTATTCTCCTTAAATCCATCAAGCGCCCTTTTTGAGAGGATGTTAGTTTTCCTACACACTAAGAAGATGATTCAATAACAACATAGCTGTCATTAGCAAGTTCCCTTCTGCCTCTTCATTAACACAGGTGAGCTGCTGACATACTGTACCTCCTTGGGTGTATTCCATCATATGTGCTGGAAATTCATTTTTTCTATGGTAGCAACTAATCATTGCAAGTTACAGAAGCTGATTACAACTGACAGCCTTTTTTTGTTTTCACACTATCAGTCAGAAAGCAAGTGGCATGGAATCTACGCTTTGATACTTTCACATGAATTTTAACGCAGGAAGTTAAGGGCACAGCTTTGGAGACTTAGGAGTTTTCTATAAAAAGGACCACAGGGCCAAAACCACTTATGAAAGAAGCACTTTTTCATACTGTTTCAATACTTTTTTCTTTACAACCCAAAAGACTGGATACTCAGAGGCAGACAGAAACCAGTTTTAAACACATGGAGCCAGACTATTTACTCCCTGGAAAAAAAAAAAAAACCTGCCACCCCAAAAGTAGCTGGTGGGATAGGTTACCCAGAAGGGAGGGTAGCTGATCACCATGTACACTGAATGTTGCATATGTAACCCCATTTTTCTACACAACTTAATCTTCGTTCTATGAAACAGCAAAATTTACCTTGAGACCCTAATAATGCTAATAACCCAGTGTACAAGAAGCCAAGAACTAATGTTTACCAAAATGTACAGACTATTCCAGCAGATAAACAGATATCCCACATAAGGCTAGTTTGGATCGCTCCTGGCTTAAGAATTAGAAAATTCAGGCATACAGGGACAAGTGGCCTGGGGTGGTTTCTTCTAGCACGTGGTCTGGGCAACAGGATTCCCTATAACTGTTCCTGTGGTGACACTTAAGCTTTCTACAAAGTTAAAAAGATGGCCAGGTTCTTCCCTATCAAAGTTCTAGGCAATGAAAACTTACATTTTAACATTTTTCTCTTACTATCTGAACATGCTGAGAAAACAACTGCATGGACTGAGAAAGTGTAAAAAAATAAAGTAGTAAAGAGTTGACATTTTTCTGATGTTTAAAATAACTTTCTATCTATTAAGGAATGTAAGCAATCATGTCTTCTATAGTTACAAGTGAAGAAAAAAAATTCTTGCACTCATGTTCTAAAAAATACTAGTAAGGATTTTGCCTCTTGGGAAAAAGTATTCCCTCCTAAACTACAAATATTTGAGACAAGAGGAGAACTTTACAGAAGAGATGCATTATGAAACAAATAAAACTTTTTCAGAACAAGAATGCTAAAAGACAATGAAAGAGTAAATTCACACGTCTTGCACTGGAAGTTCACTAAAATGTTGACATGGAAAATGGATTACCTTAGGATAAGCTCATCTCTAGGTAAAACCTTAAAATCTGCTTCACTAAGGCGAACCTATGAAGCAAAAAGAAAAGCATAACTTATCAAGCTGTCCTGATTACCTGGAGGGGTGAAGTCATAAGTAATTTTACACATACCTTCTTTGGGAGAGGTTCTTCATTCGTCATTGTGAACTCTGAAGGGAGAGGAAAAAAAGGAGTTTTATTTAGCGTAAACAGAACACTGAATTAGTCAGAAACTTATACTTCTAGCCTTAATTGTTTTGGTTTGCAATACTACACCACTGAAATACTGGTTCCACACAATGCAGCACCAGAGTACAAAATAACACTATGACATGTTTGCTCCTGTAATCTAGATATAGTCAGATGTACTTTTTCTAAAAGTTACCTCAAACTTTCTATCTATATCTAAAAAGCCAATCAGTAATCACTCATTCCTATTTAACTAATCAAAACCACACACTTTGTATCAAACTGACATTTAGTATGTGTCTACATCTACCTAACATTGTATTTTACAAGGTAAAGGATAATCAGGGTCTGATGAAAGCAATTTATACTACTGCTCCTCCTCTTCAGAATAAAAAAGAGATTAATTTGTGAACATTACAACATGTTCTTGCAAGTATTTATTCTCTTAAGATTCAAATAAACAGGAAGTACTGTTATTTTAAAACTCATGCAAATATTCTCATCCTACTTGCATCAAGTAGGATGCAAAACAAATGGCTTAGGCCATCAAACTGAATTCCTCCGGTGCATACATAGCACAAGAGGACTGCATTTTGCTAGATTAAATATTCACACTTCCCAGAGTTACAGAACATGCTTCCTTATCTCTAAAGAGCAATACATAGTATTTTCTACAACTATGATTATGCAAGAAATACTGAGTTTCCTAAATCTTGCAGGCATTCAAGTAATAATGAATGCAAGGTTTGCGGGAGGCATGCATATTTGCAATATACTTTCCAGTGAAAAGGTGCATATAATATTAAGAGTTGACAAGCTTGTAAAGCTACTACTACACATGTACCAGAGAAAGCATGTGTCAACTCCTTGGTTGAGGACACTTGGCTTTAAAGAAACAATGGTCTTAAGGAGTAGATATTCTATTTTCTCAATTATTTTTATAGATTACCTTAGTATTTTCACAATGACATTCAATGAACCAACTTAACTTCTCCAAATCCTAAAACTGTTGGTCAGCAAGACAAGCAAATACATTCCAATGAAACAGAGTGTTTTCAACCCCCACTAACAATTTACACAGCACCCTACCAAACAAGGTCCAGGTTAGCAACAAACAAACCAGCACTCACACTCCCTTCCTATAATAAATACTGACATTAGAACCCACAGAAAGAAAACATTCAGTAGAAGTATGTCACTAATGAATGGCAGCTTCCTGTTAGGCTTAGTAGCACACAGGCAGCTAAGTGCTTCCCTAAACTAAGTAGTCACACCCCTTTCACTCCCGCTCACAAGGAGTATTTTGCTTGAACTCCTGCATGCAGCTCCTTATTTGAAACTGTTTTACCAAAAACATACCTCAAATATAAAATACAAGCGTAAGAGGCTGCTGATACAAATTGCCAGTAGCCAATTCAATCAGAGTAACTTGAGATTACAGAGGGAATGCTTGTGACCCCACTGTAATTTTTCCAAAGATTTTTAGAGTTTTTAACTCCTCTGAAGGTTGGAAGTAGTATTGAAGATCCCAGCTAGTGTTAAGTTCCTAACAGAGAGAAACGTACTTTTCAGGTGTCTCGCACAACTACAGCTAACACTGATTAAATGGTGAACACATCGAGTCATTACACATGTGTTCCCCAAACATGTACCAGAAGCATACAAATACCAAAAAAATGTGACTTCCCCCCAGAGACCTGGCTTGTAGCCCCTGCTGCAGCATGCAGCAATTATAAACATATGACTGCTGCCACAATCACGACTACAAGAAATCAAAGGTAGATGCTCCATCCAAAGGTAGTCAAACGTTGCATCTCCAGACCTCACACAAAATTCCAGCACCAGACCAGGCTACTCTAACCTCTACACCCAGCACATCACCATTTACGAAACCACCTCTTGCTTTCAGACAAGAGCACAAAAAACTGAAGTTATGGGCCACTGCATTACAGAAGTCACTGCCTTACTGCCACCTATTATTACTTGCTATGATAGAACCACACAGGCGCCAAAAATATTTTCTAGGTTATTCTGGACAAGTTAGGTTGATAATATTTACAGATAAACACTTAGTGCTCTTTCCACAAATATGAATTTCACTTTGCTACTGCCCGGCAACAGCTTTTTGGGAACCTGGACTAACTTCGCAGAAGCTGAAACATTTATTACTGCTGTATACTGGATGTGCTCCATGTTTCTCAAACAGCAGCAGCTGTCATAGCGATTTGCCTCAGTTTTCTGTTACCAACAGGTGAACCTGTATGCTACAGACAACAACCACAACGGAAACGTTCATTCTTTGAATCTACTACAGCAACTTCTCAAGCACGGTGCATCAAGAGATGCTTCTTATCACTCGGCTCTCCTCTAGAAGAGATCATCTCTCTACTACCCATATCAGAAATATCTTGCAAGAACAAGATGAAGCATCACTTTCCACAATAAAAAGAATCAATGTAAACAACATTCCCGCATAACTGACTCGAATTAACACAATTGTATTTTGTGATTTATATTATGAACCGTTTAACTGTACTATCCTATGCACTTTTATGATTTTGCAGAAACAGTAGCAGCCACACACCACTCCTGCATATCTGCTCCTGGCAACAAGCAACACAAAATGATATTCCATATTTAGAATAACATTGTCACAGACACTAAAAGAATTTTTAGAAAAACTCAATGTTTTAGGCTTCTATGGCAGTTTCAATTAAAAGAAATGTGAAGTGAGGAAAGTACATTTTAATTATAGTAACTCTGATAGAGTCTTCCATACCTTTTTCTACAATGTTTATAAAACACAGGATTTAAAAACTTTTTTGAAAACTTCAATGAACAAAAGTAATTGAATCAGGTATGAGGTTTTACTTGTTATATGCAAACTGAAAGTTATTTTAATAATACCAAGAAAGAGTTCCGTGGGGAAAACCCAGCTCCCGAAGTACATACGTGTGTGCATATAGGTACAAACATGTAATTTACAGAATCGTTAGGACTGGAAGGCACCTCTGGAGATTACACAGTCCAACATCCCCGTCCCCACCAAGGCAGGTGACACAGGAACGCGTCCAGGTGGGTTCTGAATGTCGTCAGAGAGGGAGACTCTATGACCTGCCTGGGCAGCTGTCCCGAATGCGTGTGCCTGAGATTGCTCAAAAATTTCTCAGATCACACTGCAGCCTGGGAGGAGGTTAAGGGGGAATGCACCACCACAGTAGCCTGTTCCAGTATTCTCCCGCCCTCAATGTAAAGTTCTTCCTCATGCTGAGGTGAAACTTCTTATGTTTTAGTTTATGGCCACTGCCCCTCATCCTGCCGCTGGGTACCGAGAAGAGTCTGGCACCCTTCACTTTAAGACAGCACCCGCCTTTAGGATATTTGATGACAACCCCTCTCAGTCTTCTCTCTCCTAGAGTAAACAGGCCCAGCTCACGTAGTGTTTCCTTACAACAGAAACATTCCAAACCTCGAATCATCTTTGTGACCCTCCCCTGGACCCCGTCCAGTACCTCCTTGTCTTTCTTGTACTAAGGAGCCTTCTGGCGCTTAGAATGAGAAGCTTCACAGTACCCCTGTAAATGGTCAGCCCTCACACTCGCCTCAGCAACCGCGGGGGTCCCGCCCCCCCGCGGCCCGCAGCCGCAGGTGTTTGACAGACCCAGCTGCTGCGGCCGCCCCCCGCCCTCACTCCTCGCCCACAGGAGAAGCGACAAACGCGGCTCCCGCGGCCGGGGCGCGGCGGCCACCCAAGGCAGGGGAGGAGGATCCCGGCCGCGCAGCCAGGCCGGGCTTTGGGGCCTCGTACAAAATGGCTCTAAGTGCTTCCGCTCCTCCCCCCACCGTGCCCGAGGTGAGGCATGGAGGCGCCTCTGGGGTTCGACACCCCGGGACTGCGGGCTGCCCGGTCCGTCAGTCCGTCCCGCTGGGGCGGAGCGCCCGCACGGCCACTCACCTCCCGCCTGCGGCGCGGAGGCCCCGCGCCCCTCGCACGCCGCTCGCCTGGGCCGCGCTCCGCCTCACATCGAGCAGGGGAAAAACGCCGCCACCTCCGCGCCTGCCGCCACCAGCTCCGCGGGCGTCTCCGCCGCCGCCACCAGCGCCGCAGCCAGGACAGCCGCGCCCCCCCACCCCCGCCCGAGCTCCCCCGTACGCCGCTCCCGCCCGCTCTTTATTTGCGGGTTCTCTGCGCTACAAAATGGCGCCCAGGGAGGAAATGAGCGCCCGCCCCGCCCCGCGGTCGGTGGCTGCGCGCGCACCTGGCGTGGGGCGGGGGGGCGGCGGCAGCGGCGGAGACGAGGAGAGGCTCCGCAGCGGGGCAGGGCCGCGGCGCGGGTATCTCGGCCCGCCTGTGGGGCGGCTGCTGCAGGGCACCGCCGCCCGTCCCGCTGGGAAGCGGTGGCTCCCGCGGGTTATTCGAGCGCCGGTTTAAAGCCCGTGGCCGAACGGGCCGCGCAGCGCTCGTAGCGGTGGGGTGCCGCGCGGCCTCCTGCCGGCGGGGGGAGCCGCTGCTCGGCGGGAGGGGGCAGCGCCGCCCGTCTCCCGCCAAACCGGCTGAGGGAGCGGGCCCGGCGCCGCCTGGGAAGAGCTCTTGGCGCCTTCCCGGAAGGCTGGTGGAGAAGATGGGATCCCTGGGAAGGAAAACTGCGTGCAGCAGTAAATAAAGTGCAAGATGGGTGCCAGGCTTCTCGGAGTGACTGCCGGCGCTGCCTGCCCGCCGGCCGCTGCTCGGTGGCGTCGGTGCGAGTCAGTGTCCTCAGCCACTAATGAAAGATACAAGATTTAAATTCCAGCTGCTTCCAAAGAACTGAAACATCAGTTTCAGAGTTGGGGAATAAAAACCAATAAAGTTTGTTCTTCGTTGCGGTCTAGCTCTGAGCTGGTGCTTTAAAATAAAGTTTATCCTTCTTACTCTCTCTGATTTCACAAGCTGTGCTGTTGGGTAAATACTTTTGCCTTTTTGTTGACAAAATCGTAAAGCTGCTGCAGACTAAATCAGTCTGTCACCTGGGTTGCACAGATGAAATTGATTGTCACTCACTATGTCAGTACTAGAGGTGATCCAGAAATCTCTCCTGAATCTTACTGGTAGCAAAAACAATATAATCACTACAGAATAAAACACGTGGTCCCATACACACATGTACACGTATATATGAATACACAGATTTTTCACTGAGAACTTAAAACGTTTAAAAACCACGCTATAACTGATTTGACGTAGCTACCTGAGGTAGGGTGGTAAGGTGACCACAAGGAGAAAGGACCTGAATAAATGCCTTTGAAATCTTACCTCATTTGAAAGTGAAAAGAGACACACTGTGATTGTGTACAGTTACCTGCTCCTGCTTTTCAAGATATTTGTTTTAAGCATTCATGATACTAATTAACAGATGAAGCCATCCGAGGATATGGCAGCATGAGAGATGCACATTAGTGTAGGCCTTAATAAGAACATTAATGTAGCAAATTGACTTGATTTTCTCATGTGCAAACATAAACGTTACAATACTAAAAATGCATATAAACCAAGCAGAAGAAGAAATCAAAACTTTTTCTACATAAAATGGATGCTGACATACACTCAGGGCAGTTTCTATTCTGTGTATAGCATACCTAACACTTTCTGTGTATCAGTGGTGATTTAACTCAAGATCTCCCAGTACTTTGTCTAGACTTTGGCCACTCTTTATTATGGTCAGACACCAAACCTCCTTTGTGTCTTCTTAGTGGTACAGATAAAGGTCTAGCTCAGATACCCTCTAAGGTGTGGGATGGTAAACCTTCCACAATTGTTTGTGTTCATGAGCATGTAGAAAGTATTCCTGCATTTTTTACCTCTTGTCAGCACCTAGTTATTTTAAATTTATCTTTACAAGTGTAGATTACAATTGTGGGAAACATGCTAGCTGAGCAAGAGGCAGGCAGCCAGGGACATGTAGAGATAAGTGGAATCAGCCTGCAGAGCTTAATATTCTGGGCTGCCTTCCTTCCGTACTTTCAAGCTGGTAAGTGTATTATCAGGTTACACCTATAATTTTTGTTTAGGGAAATAATGTTAACAATTTCATAATCATTCCTCTGATACCTTTGGGAAGAGGACATTTAACTGAAATACTCTTTTGTTCTGTTTGCACATCACATTACACAGTGAGAACTAACCTGGGACTTTTTGGTGCTGCTGGATCAAACATGTCGACACCCGCCTTGGGTTGTGTTTACAGTGTGGTAACTGGAGTAAATTAGCTTTTCAAGTAATAGGTGGTATCATAACCCCCAGCAGCAGCATTGGTCTTTGGATGAGAGGGCACGTAATGATCTGTCCAAGCATCAACACAAAAGCCAAATTCATATATTGATTCACCTATAATGATAAAATGGAATGTGAACCAGATTATGAATGAGTGGGCAGCACAGCTCACTGGGTTTTAGGTTCCTTGAATGATGGTGTGTTACTCATTAACTTAATTATCCATTTACTGGATGGCTCCTCCTTGGTTTTACAGGCTTAGTTCTGGGTTTCTATTCCACCCCTTGGTTTCACAAGGAAACCCTGTGGACCAACACAAATACTACGATGTTTCCCAGCTCTGAGGGATGCTGTTTGTCCCTGGGGAAGGCAGGCTGTGAGGGAAAACACTTCCTAGTGTAAAACACCCATTCAAAAAATCAGTCTGCAGGTCAGGAAAGTGAGGATTAGGGGGAAAATGACATAAAGCCTTTTTCAAAAGCAAAAAAGAAATAATGTTTGGAGTACCATACATCCTCTTGGCATTTTAAAGGACCTTGAAATATCAAAAACTAAAGAAAGGCCAGTCAGCTCTTGCAAAGGCTGTCCTTGACTTGCAAGGGCAGGAGATGGAGCAAGGCAAAGCTGTGGTATATCTGCAGCAGAGAATGAGCACTGGAAAAGGCTGCTGCAGCCTACAGGTGTGGGAGAAAGATAAAATCTATGGATTGCACTGAGAGGAAAGTGTTGCAGAGAGATCCTTCAGGTAACTACTACGTAAAAATCTAGGCTGCAGAAAGCCCAAATTTGACATCAGAGGACTCTCTCTTTTAGAGAAGATTCCTGAATGCTAGGCTGCAGGCTTAATGCTGTCTTTATATCCCCTGCTAACATGCTTTTATGGGTCTCAGTGGAATTTCCCCCTATTTTTCTTACATCTTCATAGCAAGAAGTAAATGAACTTCTTCAGAAAGCTCTTGCAATAATTACATTTTATTTAACAGCAACTATATATATATATATATAGTGAGTGAACCCCAGAGCCTATCCTGAAGACATTCCCAGAATGATAATCCATCCAGATACAATTAAAACCAAATGGTGACTCATGTTAAATTCGTTTTTGGGAATGCTTGATAAATACTGCAAGCTTGCTTTTGGAGTGTTTTTTTCTGCATTTGAATGACTTAACTTTGATCTGTATCATGCATGTTTCATAATTATTTGCCTTAGTGCGATTGCTGCGTCATTTTGCTATGTCACATGCCCCTTTTGTCCATTTGGATCTCAACCCTGGACACCATCCAAGCAGAGTTAAATAGAATACTGCAAGCCTGATAGACATACCAAGATAAAATTAATCTCTGTTGGTTTTGGGTGCTCCAGCCTCACAGCCTGGTTTGTCACTAATGTTGAACTGCAAAACTGTTCTGCTGGTTGGGGCTGAGAGCAAAGGTGCAGCAGGACAGCTCACTGGGGTGAGCCTGAAGGCCCTAAGGCTGCTTCATATTTTAACTTTTTCTGTCTGCTAGTGAACTGTGGGGAGGGAAGGGGCTGAAGTCTCACTTTATGGTCAATCCAATATTTGTAAAGTTTTAAATCAAGAGAATCCTGTTCATAAGGCTTACTTCAGGTGTAGTGTCAGTTGTGGACTTTGAACACCTGCCGACATTTAATCTGAGCTCATCTCATATTATTGACTGTATTTCCATCAATGGCCTTAAGTTGTAATCAGTCAAATGTTGCATTAAGAATGACATATTGGTATATGGTACAGTTGATAAAAGAGGTTACTTGGTGCTGCCCTCATATGTCTGTTACTCACTCTCTACTGAATTTTGAAAATGTGCAGAAGACTACATTCAGTCATGCAGGGTTGCTCAGGAACTGTACAATATTTTTCTAAAGCAATCACTGTATTGCTTCAAATCCTACATTCCCGCATTTTACTTTTATGTTAGTTCTACTACTTGCTTAGTGATAGCCTTTTGAAAAAACACAAAACATGTTTTCCCCTACAGATTTAATCTTATACTTTTCTAAGTGTTATCAGCTGCTCTGAGTGCACAGCATCATTAAAGAAAAGCAGTGGTGCATGCATGTTGCCAATTAATGCATTTTTTAATGCATCACCTTAGGAGACTGGTACGTCAGTCTGCCTAAGCATTTAGCTGGCTGTGGGGTTTTCCAGCAATTTCCTTTCTTGAAGATATCTGAGGGTATTCATCTCTTGCTGAAAGCTGGAAACCCCAAAGTAACTGAAGAGCACATGGTTTTCTGCTTTGGCCTTATCCTTCACAAAGACCAAAATACATAAAAGGAGGGATGTATTTTGAGTGTTGGAATCCTGAAGCATGATTTAAAAGAGTTATTGATGAAATCTAGACCACTCTTGCTTTCCATAGCTGAAGTAGGATTTTTCCCTCTCTAGTAATGCTGTTTTTTTACAGCATTTTTAGTAATGACGTTTTTTTTACATTTTAAAGCAAGAATAGAGGCTGATAGGAGTCAGAAGAATCCAACTCAGGTATCATAGTGCTCCTGTTGCTCGTTGTGCCCACACAGATGGTTCAGATGCATTTTGTGGATGCAGATTTAATACTGCCAAGTTCAGATTAACCAACATGCAGGATGTGACCACAGGTGTACTGGTGCATTCACTGCATATATAACCACATTTATGTTTGTGGGTGTTTGTCATCACATGCTGTGTGCTTTTTTAGGACTTAATTTCTGCATCTGTTATCTCTGTGAAAACTTACAGAATTTTACTACCTGGATAGGAAAAAAATGTGTCCCGACTTTGTAGCTAAGGTAGGAGCAATAGCACATTTTCTAACCATCTTCTTGGCCCTCAGATGCAAA